ATACAAATTATACAAATTTTGTGTTATTCCAAATTTTATAAAAATCGGCCTTTTTACAAATTTGGATTTTGCCAAACTTATTAAACTTATTCAAACACTAAACAAATGAGCAGAAAAAAGTTAGTCTCTAGTATACTTGACGATCTTGATGACGAAGAATCACCTTCAAATCAGCCATCTTCTACTCGTAGAAATAGATCAATTTCTAGTATAATAAACGAAGAAATAATATCTTCTGCTAGATTAACAAGTAATAAAAGAAAACTAGTAGTTTGTAATTGTCCTGATTGTGATGGCAACTTGGTGGATTCTCGCACAAAAGAAATTCACGATTTCAGACTTCAAGAATACCAAGATTCACAAGGTACAATTTCGTCTCAAGTTCGTCAACTTGAAATAGGTGAAACATCAACACCCGCTTCAGCTGGACGAATGATTGATGAATCTATTAGACTAGAATCTGAAGAATCAGATAACAGTAATCAAGATGATGTTGATGATGAATATCAAAATATTGAATTTAACTTCTTACCTCGACAACATGCAAGAAAGTATACAAATCGTCCAGAAATTTCAGAAGATCCAGAAGATTTATCATCATCCGAATATACTACAGAGGAAGATATCTACAGTGATACATTGTCTATAGGTGGTGAATCAGATAATGATCCAATTTCTGGAATTTCTGAAATTTTTGAAGATTATTCACCGCCTAGTTATGAACCATTTCAAAACCCACCATATTCAGAATCGAATTATGATCGATTTTTATGGATGTTACTTTGGATAATGAACTTTCGAACAAGATTTAATATTGCAGAGACAGCTACTGAGACTCTAATAAAATTTATGAAATTGGCCCTGTGCGAGTTCAGTAGTGATGATTTTAATGATTTCCCAGATTCGCTTTACTTAACAAGAAAGAAGCTTGGATTAAACGACCAATTTCATAGTTTTGTATCTTGTCCGAAATGTTACAAATTGTATAAAAAAGAGGAAGTGGTAGATTTCAAATAAGAGGACAATCCTGCTATAATGAAATGTTAACACATAGAATTTCCCAATTCTTCAGTTCATAGATCACGTCTTTGCAATATGGCATTGTCTAAAAAAATTAGCGTATCGACAAATCGAACAATAATACAACCTAATTTAATGTATCCGTTTGCTAGAATCAATCAACAACTTGCCACTATGTTTTGTTGGCCTGGGTTTGAAAATTCTTTCCGACATTGAGCTAATCGGTCGAATTTTGATAATATTTTGACCGATATATATGATGGGCAAGTGTGAAAGAATTTTAAAGAATCGGACAATGAAGATTCGCCAAATTTTTTTAGAAGCGAAGTGGCCGATTCTTATCTTGACTTGATGCTGAATCTTAATTGGTTTCAGCCATATGATAGTACCATTTATAGTATCGGTGTCATATACGCCGCTATATGCAATTTGCCACGCGATATCTGATTTAGACGTGAAAATTTATTGACTCTCGGCATTTTACCTGGGCCAAAGGAGGTCAGCCTATATAAAGTGAACCACTATTTAGCACCAATAGTTAACAAATTGGAAATACTCTGGGCTGAGTTAACACTAAATCGTACTTATGAATGCGAAAATGGAAAGAGAGTTCGTGGAGCTTTAATCTTAGTATCATGTGACATTCCCGCCACAAGAAAAATTTGCGGTCATGTTTCTGCCTTAGTTTCATGTCACAGGTGTAAGAAAAAAGCTAATTATGAAAATGGGCAGCATAATTTTGCCAGAAAGGATGATGTAAACTATTCTGCTCGAGATTCGAATGAGCACCGGCAAAACGCATTAGGTTGGCGAAGATGCAACTCAGATGCTACTAGAAAGCACTTCGTCAAAGAAACTGGCGTTAGATGGTCCAAATTGTTGTGTCTATCATATTTTGACCCTATTAGATTTATTACAGTCGATCCAATGCATTGCTTATTTCTGGGTATTACGAAGTGGATAGTAAAACGAATTTGAATCGATGGGGGTATTTTGACACCAAATTCTTTGAACAAAATTCAGAAAAAGATGGATGAGTTTCAGATACTATCCGATTTGGGTCGAATTCCAGGAAAAATTCATAGTGGAGAGGGATTCACCAATTTTACGGCCGATCAGTGGCGAATATTCTTTACAATTTATTCAACTGTATCACTTTGGGAACACCTTTCAGACGTAGATAGAAGAATCCTGAATCATTTTGTCAGGGTTTGTTCGATTTTGGTAAATCGGATTCTAGAATCTAATTTGGTGGATGAAGCCCATAGA